CAATTGGGTTCAAATCCGGACTTTTTGAGGGCCAGTCGTCGATGAAATCAACGTTATGATTTTGTAAATACTGTATATTGACACGAGCAACATGGGATGTGGCATTATCCTGTTGTAACGTCGTTATTACGTTATGGGTCTGAAGCAGAGGGACAACATGAGGGCATAAAATGTCTTCCCTGTATTTTTGGGCATTTAAATAATTGCCATCAATAAAGACGAGCGAGGTTCGATACCCGTAGGCAATACCACCCCACACCATAACTGAGCCCCTCCCCCAAAACGATCCCGTTGCAGTACGCAGCAGTCGACATAACGTTCATTCCTGCGTCGGTATAATCGTACACGGCCATCAGCTCGAGACAATACAAACCTTGACTCATCAGTAAAAAGAATTGTCCGCCAACGCTGTCTTGTCCAGTTTATGTGTCCAAGGGCCCATTGCTCTCTATTGTTGCGATGTCGGCGCGTCAAAACCGAACCGACGTACGCACGACGTCCGTGCAAACCGCTCTTGGCTAAACGATTCATTACTGTCTGGGCGGAAATACGGTTGTCGTGAGTACCGGGGGTAACAGCAGCTGTAGCTGTCGCTGTTCGAAAGCGATCGCGCAGGTGCTGGTTCAAGATATAGCGGTCTTGGGCTCGAGATGTTACGCGCGGTCTACCGCTCCGCGGCAAGGGTCTGTGCAAATCGCCGCCGAAGGCTTCGGATTGATTGCACGGATGCACCAAGACGAGCTGCAACCTCCGCAGTTGTGCACGCCCAAGGCCCTCTCACGTAAATTTTCGGGAATTCTTGGCATTGAAATATCAATACAAAACTTCAATTAAAAAAGTTTTTCGATTTTTTTCTACAGCTTTACGACTATAGCAATATTTTGGTAAAGACAAATATGCACCACGTGGAGCGGATATGCACATCCCTTACGCGCACGTGAAACTCGATTTTTACGTTGAATAAACATATCAGGCTTTTATACGGGGATTAGCTGACCGATTTTGCAAACAAAACGAGTTTTACAAGCTACAACATGTATATATGTGTGTACATCTAAGTGGTACCCTTGAACAACTGGCACATACTTTGCGAAAGTTTATTTTTTTAGACGGGTTTGATTTTCCAGAAAGACCCTCCGTTAAGAGTCTAATACAAGCAGGTAGTCAAAAAATTCAATGGCGGCCATTTTGAAATTGATATTTAAAGGTCAAGGACTTAAAATACAGCCGTGGTAGAGCAAAAAAATGAATTCATCGTACTAAAAATAGGCAAGTAAGCCCAACTACCTGCTTGTACTAAAAATGCCATTTTCCCAAAATCAAACCAGTCTATTTGGTTCAGTATATAAACTAATCACACTTGGCACAAATGTTGACTGGATCATTGCCTTTGTAACCTGCTCAGTCTTATTCCTGTTACCATGGCAACAAGGGGACATCTCAAAATTGCCAAAAATCACTATTTTGCGTTGATTTTTTCCAAAATGATTCTCAATGGATTGAGATAGAGTCGAAGGTTTCTCAGCGTTTGTTACACATTACCTTATGATCGACCTGGGGTAATTTTTAGCCGCTCACAAGTCCAAAATTTTCTTTGCGATTCCTCTAGGGGGATTTCTGCCCTCTTCAAACCTCACAAACAGAAAGAGGCATATCCCCCTTCTGGCAATCCCCTGATGTATCTTTTGGATACGGGCAGCGCCGAAAAATAGTATATTTTTAACAACATTTCTCAAACAAAAACAAGTGTTGGGACCTAAATAAAGCATTTTCACCATTTGAGACAACAAAAGAGGTGAAAAAGGCGTGTTAAAAGGCGTGTATATCGGGTAATGGGTTAAAGAAGTGATAGAGCTATTTAATTCATATCCTTAGGTCACTTTTCTAGCGCTTACTTTAAAAAGTCTTCCTTAGTTTTGGTTTTTTAGCTCGACTTTATAATAGGACTATGCTACTCACATGTGCATCGGCTAGTCTTACTAGGTACAAATATATAATCCTTTCTTGTAACGTTAGATCATTAATGGATGTCAACCAAGGTCTGTAACTCGAGTATCAATCTTGACTAAATTATGGACCTTTTTTCACTTAGTAATTCCTGGTTAAAGTTTTGTGTAAAAGTTCAGTCTTTACAACTATGTTAGGTGGTCTTTTGAAACTTCACACATGTCAGAGATCTTAATCAGAGTTCACTTTCCGAGGGCAATAACTCTAGCAGGACTGAATTGTACACCTGTATGATGTTCGAAATTCAAAGTTCATTCCTCACAACTAAGGGTTGACATGAAAATTTTGCGATGGTTATTTTAGGTTGTTATGAAAGTCCAATAATAACTTTTGACTGAATGGTCATTATCCTTTTATGTCTTTGGTTTTGAATGAACCTTCTCAATAGTGTTTTTTGGGTCGCCTTGAAAAATGCAACACATAGGGGTACTTTTGTCAGCGGTGTCAGCGTCCCCTTAGGCTCGCCTGGAGCATAACTATGGACTTGAAACTTCATAGGATGATAGATCCCATTGAGAAGAAGTGTAGTGCATAACAACCAGTGCTCTAGACTTCATGATTTTTTAGTTATTGCCCTATGTTAATTTTCATACTTTATTTTTGCCCGGGCAAATTCTCCTACACTTTAAAAGCCATTGAATGAAACTTCATAGGATGATGGATCTCATTGAGAAGTCGAGTGCACAAGAACTTGTACTATGCACTTCATGATTTTTGACTTATTGCCCTTTGTTAATTGTTATAAAAAGCCCTTTGTTAATTTTCATTAAAAAAAATACCCATTTTTTTCTTGATGTGTTTTCACATTATATCATTTAAACTAAACATAATTATATCTTGTAAATTTTAAACATGCATAGTTTATGCACATTAAATTATTGTAAAGCCACTCTTATCGTTAAGTTATTCACCCAAAATTACCTAACTAACAACATTCACGAATAAATTTCAATCATTAGTTTTATCTCTCTGCGAGTTAACACTACCATATTTAACAGTGACCATGTAAATTTACTTGCGTTAATACACAACAGGAGCACGATTAAAAGTCTTTGGCGGCGGCGTCTTTGATATTCTTTGAATAGCAATTGGTGGTCGGTAAAGTCATTAAAACTGATTCTGTTACAACGTGACGAAACAATGTAAAAATGATATGTTTTAGCCGTTGTTTTTTTTTTTTTTTTGTGAAGTTTACTCACAACATTTATATCAATTCTAAAAAAAACAAAAACAAAAAACAAAAAAAACCGGATAAACAACATAAAAGTTTAAAAGTCAAGTAGTCATAGGATTAATAGAATTTTTTCATTGACAAAATTTTTGTTTTTATTTATACATGTATCTGTATGGCATAAAATTTGCAAATGTAAAATAAATTAAAAGGTCAGTGCATAGATGAAATTACTGATTTTAGATTTAAAAAGTAAAATGTACTTTAGTTATTTTTTTTAATAAAGTAGTGACTAAGAAAATGAGTAGAATAAGTCGTAATAAAGTTGACCTTATTGTTTTCTTCAGGTGAAGTTATAAACAGTTACACTGAAAATTTGATGCGACATAAAGTACCAGCTAAGACAAACAAGTATAAATGTACAATGTAAATAATAAATTTCATATAATTTTCAAAACATATTGAACATGGTTAATACTACTTTAAAAAATGATAGTGTGTAATAACATAACATAATAAACTTATAGATCTACTGTAGTTAAATTAGTGATCTACGATACTACTCATTAATATTGTGGTCTGTTGACTAGTACTAATATTGACTGCTATACTATAATTGACTACCAGAAAGTTGTATTAGGTGTACGTGTTGTTTGTATTGAATTCAAAGAGTAAATCTTACTTTAATCTTGGAGAAAAGAGTTTATTTATTCTCAAAATATGGTCACTACTGTATAAAAATACATACAAGGATTGGTACCTTAAAAGAAAAAAACGGCCATAAAAAATGCGAAACTCGATTATACTATCAGCAGACAATCGATTCTGGTGGTCCGATTATCGAAAGTGATTTTTGAGTCCGATACCTAAAACTACTTTTAGCAATTGACAACAAATTTGATGTTTAAAAAAAGAAGATTATTACTGAATGTCACTTTCAAACCAAGTTAATGCAGACCAAATAGGTGTTGTACCTTATAAAACCACATGTATTCATATCAGGCGCATATCAAGCCAAATGAATGTAAAAATAGCAGACACACGAATAGTTGTTGCTTGAACGTCAAGGGCTAATTATGTACTGTTAAGCCAATAGAATAGAAAATGCTACACATTTTGGCAACATTGGTACAACCTTGAAAAGCAATATGATAAATTCATTCAATGCCTTTACTGAAACGTATCTAATGAAGTTTGTATTCTAGCAAATGTGTGCAGCGGAAAAAAGAGCACAGACCATTTTTACAAACCCAATGTTTCTCTGTATGTACAAAGAGTTTATAATCTGGTCAATAAGACTATGGGGACATCAATCAACGATTATTATGAATACTTACGATTGAAACCCTCTAATGATTGGCATATACTAAAAACATTGTATTTAAGTGTAGCTTTTATAAATTAGACTTTCAATTTAAAAGTACATTTTACGTCATTCAAAACACAAAAATCGATTTTGAAATTGTCTCTTATACGCGTTGTTTCAGGTGTTATGAAGTTTACAATATACCTATTAGTGAACATGGAATCATTGGAGATCGTCAAATGTCAGTTATTCACAAAATGTTGCTTTTCTTCATTTTGTTATAATGTTTATAAGGGACAAAATTATAATAAGATATCAATGAGTGATATTTCGTACTAAGTACTTATCCTACGTTTAATGACTTACATGATAATATTATTAAAAGAGTGAATATGCTTATGTGCTAGTGGAATTAGTTATAGCGACATAATTGTATAGACCAGAATAACTTATTAAAACGTTTCCGGAAACTCGTTTGTGTCTACAATAAATGCAAACGTTTATAGGTTTTAAAGAATGGGTGTTCGAGGTTTACAGACGTACATAAGAAAAAACAGAAACAAAGAAAAATTCCTTAGTGACTACACATTACGGGACACTAAGTTGATAATTGATGGTTCAAATTTGGTTTACTTTCTATATCAATTCTTTGAAATTCCTTTCAAGTTTGGAGGAGACTATGATCATTTTGCAAGAGAGTGTGGCGATTTTTTTTCATCATTGAAACGTTTACGTGTTGAACCGATTGTTATCTTTGACGGAGCCGACGATCCGACAAATATAAAGTTTAAAACGCATCTAGATCGTTTAGAAAAGCAGTCAAGAAAAGTTGAAATGATCTTTCAACAGACCAGAAGAACCCTGGACATTGGAGATACATTTATACTACCCGTCTTGGCAGAACTTACTTTCCGAAATGTTCTCGTGAAGCTTGGGATAGTTCACGCATGTTGCCTGTTTGAAGCCGACAGTGAGATTGCTTTTCTGGCAAATAAATTTAGGTGTCCAGTTTTAAGCGCCGACAGTGATTTCTGTGTGTTTGCATTGGAAGTTGGTTGTGTGCATCCTGCAGATTTACTGCCTTTACCTGAACATCTTCTGGATTATTTGCCTACTAAGATCTACAACTGTCGGGTTTTGATGGAAGAGATGAATATGGTTGACGATGACGTTATTCTACCAGTATTCGCAACATTGGTTGGGAATGATTATTTCGATTCTTCAAACATTAAGTTTAAAAGCCCTACAAAAAACAGCAGTTGTGAGTTATCAGGTGGTGTACATTATACATTAGATTGGTTAAAAAAAGCTGGCTTTCGTAGTGGAACGGAAGCTTTTAAAAAGTTAACAGAACAGTTATCGGACGAAACACAAAAAAGTCTGTTCGTAAAGTCAGTCAAGTCATATTTCAATATCTATTGTACGCCAGACCAGCATGATGCTGTTGACTTATCAGAGGAAGTACTAGAAACAGTCTTAAGTCGATGTTCTATCAAAGTTGATTTGCCTAAATGGTTTATCTTGGGTCTCATCAGATGTGACATAAACAGCAAGTTTTTACTGAATATAGCAATAAACAAGCGATATCTATTCAAATCCCAGATTGAAGACCACAGGAATCCTCCTTCATTCGCTTGCTCGAAAGGAATCAGACGTGTTATATACGAAATTTTGGTAGGACAAAATCCTAAAAAGGAGCAGCGAAAGATAAAAGAATATCACAGAGTTAAAACTAATGTCTCAAATGTGAATCCATTGAAAAAACTACCACATTTCCCCAAGTTGCCGCACATTACCGATATTGGAATACTAAACAAACATTCAAGAAAAACTCTTTTGTTCGCAATATTTGGTGACATGGTAGAAATCTTACCTGAAGAGATGGATGAAACTTCATCAATAATTATTCTCATGCTAAGTCTATGGCAGAGAAACTCGAAAGCGTCGGTAGACCAACTGAAGGCTTTCGTCATAAGTATTTTCACAATGCAGATTTGCACCGCTGATGATCCAAATGAAATAGAGATACTGAGCGTAAGAGAGGCAACTGTAATTGGGACATTTGAAAAATTCAGTACCAACATGAAAATACATTTTATAGAACGCATGGATTTAAACGAGAATATTGTGAATGTTCTACATAAAAACGCACAGTTTCAGTCCATATACAAAGAAATGCAAGTCTTAAACCAGCTTCTCTTAAAACCAGTATATCTTCCAAATCCCGAAAGATTTCTTCAGAGCACTCTGGTTTGCAAAGTTTTTCTATTTCTGACAAGGGACAATGGTAAACCTGAAGAAGTTTTCTGTAAAAAAACATCACGTCTTTTCGTGTTGTTCGAATACTGGTTGGAATTAATTGAGCAGCTATGTGAGCGTTGTGAAAGACATATATGTCCTGTTGCTTCGACTGTTGCTTCGGCTACAGTGACGAGAAATGTAAACGCTCACAAAGAAAAAATTAAGGTATCGATAAATAATGCAGCATAATGTTTATTTTTTCATAGTGGAAAAAATCGTTATATGACAAAAAGATGAGGGCCTGACATGACGTTGGTATAGTAAGATAAAATTGAAATATCCGTCTTTTTCAAATGCTGAAAAAAGTTAATTCACTTTGACTGTAACTATTTATTGGTTTAAAATGCTGAGTGTTATAATAACGTGTAGATAATTATGTATTTTCACATTTTGGGATGATAGTAAACAAAAATTTTCGACGAAGTAAACATTCTTTGGAATTTCAACTTCCAATACTTTAATGCTTTGTTCACACTAAAATGAATTAAATATGATTTTCTGTACATAGAAACAATGCAAATATTTATTAAAGATGATATTGGTCTAAAGCTGTATGCGAAGTATGATATATCTATGCTTTTTATCTTGTTTGAGACACACTACATAGTTTGATTCTCATATTAAATGTTTCGTCAAAATAACGTCTTCGTTGTCGTTTATATATTATTAATCGAACATTAATGACGTCGGTTTGAAAAAAAGAGTCCCATCTTTAAAACTCCTTAAGTACACAAAATATTAAAATAATTCCTCACATCCCCGTGCTGTTTATTCCTACTACGTAAAAAAGTATTGTACGGTCATACATACATTTCCATGTGAGGTCACTTGCGTGATACCATAACTTATAAGTATCTTACCCCGGCTTCCAGTAAAGATGTCATTTTTTTCTTAAATAATATGCAAAAAGGAACCATACACAGGCTGTGTAACAGAATAAAAGAAGGATATATCTAGCTCTCTGGTAACTTTTTGGCGGAAACTCAGAAGAGCCTCGTTACCACTGTAAACAGTTAAGTTTGTCCTTCAGTTCAGATTAATAGGATCTGTATTGTATTCAACAATGTATACCGGTCTCTTTATTTCACACACCACTTTTTGACAGAACTTTGTTACTATGAGTAAAATAGGAACTTGACATGTATTGCTTTTCTGGACCAATACTGGACGCTGGAAAATAGTATATATGAAAATAAAGCTCACTAGAGTACAAAATTAACTAGATTAGGATTTTTTATGCTAGGAAATTCAAAACAAGGGAAAGGCTAAATTGATAAGATTGGATCCAATTTTTGGGAGATCACATGGCGCAGACACTGGAAGGTCATTGGTTACCCATACAGCAAAAGCGCGCGTTAAACGTTCATATAAATTAATTTTCATTAAATATTTCAATGCGTTTTTAAAGACATGTGATAAAAAGGATCACACGTTTGTTTTCATATAATGTATGATATAACAAACTCACTAGAGGCTCTCTTTTAAACAGCTTCTTGATGTCATTCAATAAGATATTTTACATCATATGAAACTCGTGCCAGATCCTTTATACATATTATATGTTATTAACTTACAACATGAGTATCGCATCTAACTCGAATGATTATTATATATCTTAAAAATATGCAAGCCTGTCCGAGGCCTAGGTTTTGTGTTTCAGCACGTAAAAATATTGAAAGTAAATCAATATCCAAGTATATATTTACAGTCGAGCAGAAAAAAGTGATTTAAGAAAATGAAAGTTTTGAGAAAAAATAGTACTGACTGGAATTAAGCACATATGGATTTGTTTAGTGAGTACCAAAGTTTTAGTTAAATCGCAGTAAATAACTATATATGATATCTAATAATAAGGATCCGAAAATCACGCTCTATAAACACAAAAGAATGTGTGCACTTTTCTTATCCGGATACATTTTATACAACAAAGTATGCAGTTGTAAAATTAAGCAAGTCCTAAAACTAGCAGTATCAGCTTTTACGGTCGATAAATTCAATAAGATATTGTTCAAGTTATTATTTGGTTTCACTTACTTTTAAGCTTGAATAGCAACTTCGCACTGTTTATACACGTGCAACATGTATACATGGACAAAAGTGGTAAAATATTTACTTGCACATGTAAAGTGCGAATATCACTTAATATTCGGAACTTAAAATTATGCAGGGTTGCCACGATAATAGAATGTCAACCTTTGAAAGCAAATGTAAGCAAAAAAAAGAAGCACAAGCTTGTTACCCTAGGCATGAACAATGAACCTGGCACTGCACATTGATTAGAAATGTCTTAACATTTATAATTTCTCTTGTTAAATCAGGGGCAATAGATATTACTCTAATATTGCTCCTGATCAAATATTATGTCAAACAACTGATACATTTTTAGGGAATCAGATGTGCACTGCGATTTAGCTGTGGTGTGAATCGAGGTAAATGTATGTTTTATGATATTTGATGTGTTCTATGTCTGAAAAAAATTTGGATAAAGAATAAGTGTATAGACAACATATTTAGGTCCTTACATGTATCATGCTTTTTACTTCTGTTTTGGTCTTGTAAATATATCTAAAAGATCATAACTTAACGATACATAAATTAAGATGTGTGAGCTCTCTATATATAAAAAAGTTGTGTAATAATAAATGAAAAGCTGGCAGATACTTATTAAGCTCATGAAGCTAAAATATTCTCCCATTCCCTTTAAGCTGTCAATATTCTAAGCCGAGACAATTGCCTAGTATTTTTGCAATATGTACGGGGGCACAAAGGTGACATGTGTGTGTTTTTATTTATCTCGTGGCCACGAGATACTATGTCGTGGCCACGAGTTACTAAGTCGTGGCCACGAGATAGCAATGTCGTGGCCACGAGTTACTTAGCCGTGGCCACGAGATAGCAATGTCGTGGCCACAAGATACTATGTCGTGGCCACGAGTTACTAAGTCGTGGCCACGAGATAGCTAAGTCGTGGCCACGAGATACTATGTCGTGGCCAAAAGTTACTTAGTCGTGGCCCCGAGTTAGTAAGTCGTGCCCACGAGATAGCTAAGTCGTGCCCACGAGATACTATGTCGTGGCCACGAGTTCCTAAGTCGTGGCCACGAGATAGCTAAGTCGTGGCCACAAGATATTAAGTCGTGGCCACGAGTTACTAAGTCGTGGCCACGAGATAGCTAAGTTGTGGCCACGAGATACTATGTCGTGGCCACGAGTTACTAAGTCGTTCATATAAATTAATTTTCATTAAATATTTCAATGCGTTTTTAAAGACATGTGATAAAAAGGATCACACTTTTGTTGTCATATAATGTATGATATAACAAACTCACTAGAGGCTCTCTTTTAAACAGCTTCTTGATGTCATTCAATAAGATATTTTACATCATATGAAACTCGTGCCAGATCCTTTATACATATTATATGTTATTAACTTACAACATGAGTATCGCATCTAACTCGAATGATTATTATATATCTTAAAAATATGCAAGCCTGTCCGAGGCCTAGGTTTTGTGTTTCAGCACGTAAAAATATTGAAAGTAAATCAATATCTACGGAATTCCATAAACGACAGCCTACTGCTCACTGCCTACTGCTAACTGGACAGCCTGCTGCTCACTGCCTACTGCTAACTGCTTATTGACAGTCTAAGTCTATGTATGGATCAAATAGAAGTATTCCGAATGTAAACACATGTGCGCCCACCATTTTGTTGAAAAAATCTGCTGATGTAAACTTTGCGGAAAACAATGGTAAGTAAAGTAAAAAGGATTATTTTATAATTAAGCCTAATAACTTGTAATTTCTAATTCATTGCAATGACTTGTGTACGTCCCACCATTGCACATTGCTTTGATTATGTTATGAAATGGTTCCACGTGTCTCTTGCACAGGTGATTGATAAATTGTCAAATATAGGACTCAGTTTAGGGTAAATCAACTTAATAATAAATTATTCACAAAGAATTTGTGTTCAATAATCAACATGGACGGGCTTGAGTCCACTATTCCTCGGTTGAGAGGCGGAGATCTGGACCATTATGTCAACACTCCCTTATTTTATTTAGAATTTCATAGTTTATTAAACTTTCATTTGCCAATGTAATACATTTTCTAGAAGAATATCTGTAATATAATGGTGAAATCACTGGTGAAATTTAGGCTTAACATTCTCTCATAATCAAATATGTGTGAGTTCATTCATTTACGAGATCATTTTGGTTCAGTTTTCATTGGCTGTTAGTTTATATAGCTTATAAATGTGTAATTCCTTATTAGATGTTATGTTATGCCTTTTTGTTAAGTATTGCACTCTTGATAGATATGTGCTTTGAAGGTTAATTATAGAATCAATTTTATTCTAGTGCAGAGGATGATAAATCTGAAAGAAACATTTCAATGGAGGAACAGCCTATACTTTCATTGACTTCACAGACAAGTAACAGAACCAATACAGCTGTAATTACAATGGAAGAGGAAAAGGACTACTCTGAAAGCATAAACAAAGACAAACTTGGCTGTATTCAAATTGTTTCAAAAACGTTCAATATTTCAGTGACATAAAGAGTGCAAACATGAAGTGATAAATTACAGTTTGGATCAGCTTATTTTACTTTTATGAAAAGCCATCGTTATTCTCTTGTTTAAATTCAATTGTGCTATTAAAAAAACTCTGAGAAATAATAGATTCTTAACTATTTAAATTTACTTAAAAATTTCTGATAGACAAAATGATCATGATAATGTTACAATATATTTTTTGACGTGTTTGTTTAAAATCCATCTTTTATATAATTTTTATAATTATCTTGTTAACAAACACACTTAAAAGTGAACTTTTAGGTTGGTTATTTTTTTCTATTTCTTTTTGCAATTACCGCAAGTAAAACCAATGAGCAAATCTGCCTTCGTATTTGCCAGAATCATCCAATGAAAGTCATTACTATTTGTATCTGGGTTCTAGAGGTTTGACAACTAAGGTAAACATTCTAAGACATCGCGATGGTGTAGAGCTTCTATGGTATAATATGAAGCATTTTTAAGTTACCTTTCTTACAACGTGTATATCACTTTATATTGCAGAGTATATTTAAATTAATATAATCTCATAACAATTACAATGTATATAATTCATAACAGAACTTTTAATTATAATTCTGCTTTTATATTAATTACTTTCCTTTAAACTT